CATTGCAATTTGTTGCAGTGTTACAGTGACAAACTTCTGGCTTCCAGTTTGGATGCTAATAAAAGAGGTGCAGTATCAAGCCTGTTAGCAGTCACTAAAAAGCACATTCTTTGACAGTGTCTTGATAGTTTGCATGAGTTTGTTGGGGGAGTGGAGGCAAGAAGGTTTGAAACCCATCAGGCAGTTTTCCATCTATTTAACAGTGACTATAATGGTATGACTGTTTCATGCCCTTCCAGTTTAAGCAGGTCTCCCCCTCCCCATTCCATCCATGGGCTGGGACAACTCACTGTTGAGCTCTGAAGTGCACTTACCTGTCTAAACAGTAACTCCAATAAAAAGGTGACAGTGCTGCTGAATAAATGCTCCTGAAACTACAGTCTCAGAATGTCATACAGGCTCAAATCAAGCACTTTGCAAAATCAGAAGCCAAAGTTGTGATTTTAAAAAATTTAAAAAAAATGCTGTCTTTTCCATTATACATATTGATTTGCACAAATACTCTTACCCTTTCCTTTACTTATTACCTGATTCCTCTATGTGTGTTTCTTTTATCTTTCTAAGGATTAGTAGTTGCCTCACATCAAGAACATCCTACTTGTCTCTTCTGCACATCAGCACATTAGCTCGCTCTTGGAATTTCCCAGTGGGCCTGAGGCTTCCTGTTATATCACGTCTCCTTGGCAACTAATGGAGTGGAGAATATTTCTGTAGATCCAAACATATCTTCTCTTCTGTATTTGTAAAGAAGCAGAATTACTTTGGCTTTTTGCATTAACTTTTCTCTCATTAAACTTAGCCTTATCATTAGGAGGCAGGCATACTCAAACTCAGTTTGTCAGTTCTCTTACCTGCAAGCACAGAATCTGCAGCTCCGGTCAGTGAAATGAGACTCCAGCTCCTGCACTGATACAGTTCTTACTCCTCTCTTCCAAAATTGTCTATCAGTGACCACTAAAGAATCATTTCAGCTTTTAAATGTCTGTACATTTGTGGAGAGCACAGTTTGGAGTTTTTTAAATTTAATTCTAACAATTCTATGGAATGGGGCTGCATCCTTTCAGTGATGGCAGTTGTCCCTAATTATGAGAATCAAATATGCTTAGAATAGGTGGAGAGATTTACTTTTTCCCCAACATGTAGGGCTTTACTCATAGTGAAAAGTGTTTAATATCACCTGAGTTAAGGTGCTTATTTATGTGTACCTTTGAAACGTGTACAAGGACAAATTTAATAATTGCAGCTAATGCTTCAAAACACTGTTCTTTCAACACGTCCTTTAATCCACGCACACAGGCCCCCACTGCAGTAGAATGCATCTGGAGGAACTGGCGTACTGTACAACAGACCAGAAAGCTTTTTGCGTGACTCTGCTAGATTTTAGTTTCTCAGTGAAATGGAAGTGATAACTTCCAATCACGTTCACTCACACCAAATAATTGTTGTTTCAGCATTAAAGCGTTTGCAGTACCTGAAGGATTTTCTTCGGCCTCTGCTGCCCAAGACAGCAAGAGTGAAGACAGAGAACAAGCGTACCATGCTCCTGAAATCATTCCACTTTATGGAGTCTCAACAAAAATGATCCCACTCTTTCAGGAATCTGGACACAGGTAAGCACTGGAAAAGTACAATAAAACCATTGTTATGTGAAGAGAGAGTCTAACAAACTTACGCTGTTACCATTTTGTTAGCCCTCATGGGGAGGGCCCTGCATTGCTGTCAGGAAAGGTGAGGGGAATCAAGAATATATTCATTGCTTCACAAAGGGAGGAAATATAAGAGGCTGTGACAACTGTGTTCAGCAAGTACTCACACATCACTTCTCCCACAGCTAAGGAGGTGATAGCTCAAGTGTCAAAATTGATACATTTTACTTCGATTGTCTTAATTTGCCATTGGATAAGGCATTTTCTGCCCACCCACAGTATGGTTTACTTAAAAGAAGATGCCCAGATAATTTAAAGAACTCGCTTGCCTCCTTGTGCCCTAATCTCATCTGTTTTGACGTAGTTTAGATAGCACTCAGTGGCAGGCTTCCTTCAACTGAGTACTTTTGTACAAGTTATACACAGCCCCCTGAAGTTAGGGGTGTCGTCAGGGTCATCCTCCCAAAGTAGGCTCCCAGAACCCAAGGGGTTTAGAGTCTCTCTAATTACTGCTATGAATGTTTTATCTGGTACACAGCAGCTGAGGTGTAATGAGAAAGCACTCCCTAGCAGATGTATTTCAATTTTGAGCTGTTACTACCAAATATAGTCAGGGTAGTTGCTGTCTTCTCTCTTAATGACAGAACCCAACACCTAGCTATTTAAAGTTAAGTTTTCTTTCTCTTCAGGAAAGGCAGCATCCTCTCAAGCAGTGAGGTGAGAAACATCATCATTAACTATGTGAAGACCAATGAATTGGTTGATGAAACAAACAAAAAGTAAGTAGTCATGGAAGTTGTCCTACCCTGCTTCCACAGGAAATGCTGAAGTTAGAGGGGAAAAAGTGAACTTGTTTGCTTCTAATGCATGTTTTTGTTTTGTAGCTTTGTAAAAGTGAATGCCATTCTGTGCGACTGCCTGTTAGATAAATCAGAACAAGATGAAATCTCAAACCTTAAATGGGATGACCTCTTGAGCAGGTGACTGTTTTCCCTACGTAGTGTTTTTCGGTATTACACAGATTTAGCACATGCAACTTAAAGCCAGATGGTACTGCTGCTACTTAAGTTGTAACTTCCTCCTAGTAGTAATACACCAAAAAAATAGCCGGACACCTTCGCAAGAAGAATCTGATTCTTCACCATCTAACAAGCGTCTAGCATTAACTGTTGTTGTAAGGGGTTTTTTGTTTACTTGCTAACCACTTATCAAGGAAAGCTTCCTAAACAAAGAGTGCCTGGCTCTGTGTACAATCTGTTTGCATATATTTATAAAGCTATCCTTTGCAATAGGTAGCCGAACATGCCCTTTTTAGGCAGTAGTAGTCATCCTGCTCTTTATGGGCAGCTCAACTTCTGCTTTTTTAACCTAAACCAACCTTTTAGATCCAGGAGGCCTGAGTATCTGACACAAGACCATTGTTTCCATATACTGAAAAAATTTGCCTAAGTATTGCCAGTGTCTTACTTGCCTTGAGCTTCTCCATCCCACAGCATGTCTCAGGCACCTCCAGCAGCTTCCTTTATTTCTGAAGCCAGGTTTACTTGTGGGACAGTAACACGGTTTCTGCTGAATTTTAAACTGAAGTTGCTTCACTGATCTGTGAACAATACAACTAAACAATAGCTTAAAGACAAAATTAAAGGTTTTCCTCTACAAGAACCAACTTACAAAATTTTACTAGTATCTATGCTACCAATCTAAGCTATAATTTTTGTGAGTCAATAGACTAGCTTTCTTTTTAGCCAGTCCCTTTTTTAATAGCTAGGATGCAAACCTTTGCATGAGATCATCATGCATTATCTTCTTAAGATACAAATTCTTCTCACATGTACAATGGTGGCTTTCATGTAGTCTCAAAAACCTGCGAGAGGCTGCAGTGGAAAAGCACAGTTAACCTCAGCCTTGCTGTACTGTATAGACTAATTGGATGTATAACTTTGTTCAGGTGCCTTGAACGACTGCAGCCCTTGCACCAGGTGACGTTTTTTGGACAAGAACCTATTGTGAGGAAAGGAAACATTGAGCCCATCGACATAACCATAGCACAGAGATCATCAAATAAGAAGGTAAAAGGAGAACTAGAATTAGGGGGTTTGAGCAGAAGCCCAGATTCTGAGAGCAGCTTTGGCAGCTCATTTTTCTGGGATGAATGAGACATGACTTAATAATAGCTACAGCAGTGATATTTGCAATAATTATTAAAACCTGTAGGTAACAATTATCAAGAACCTTGAGCTGTATGGTCTAGACCCACAGTGTGTGGCCAATGTTCTGCAACAAAAAGTACAAGCCAGTGCCACCATCACCCCAGTACCAGGAACAAAAGACAGAGTTCAGGTCCAGATCCAAGGCAACCAAATCCATCATCTGGCCAAGATGCTGCTAGGTAAGTCATTTCTGGAACTGGGCTGGGACTGGTTACAGCAACATACAGATTTTCATTCTTGAGCTCTGAATATTTGCCTGAAGTGAACTCTTGGTTATGTTGCAGAAGAATACCAGCTACCTCGGAAATATATTCAAGGCCTTGAGAAGGCTCCAAAGCTTGGCCGGAAGAAGTAGGAGGAAAATCTACTGCAGGAATTACTCAGATCTCATTATTTATAGAAGTGTTCTGCCAACAAATCAAGAATAATGTACAGGCCCTACTCATTCAAAAATGAGTCCTGGATGTTTACAAGGTCTAGGATTCACCCAGATAACAATACTGCTCCAGCTGTTCATTTTTCATAAAAATAAAAAGCTGAATAAAACCCCTATCGTTATCCTTTTCCGTAATATTTTCTAGAAGTTCCTAATGGTGCACTGTTTGCTGGCTACAGTGGCTTTGGGCTAGTTTAGCATTCTTGCTTTGCATCTTTTAGCAAAGGCGTGGTAATAGAACCTCCACTGAAACGTAAGCAAAGTGCATTGCAACACCTTGTCCTGGAACAGTCCAGGGTGCTCTGCCACAGATTCTGTGTCAGAAGTAAAACTCATTTGCTTTTAGGTTTTATCCTTTTAAACATTTCCAGGTATTAATATCAGACATTCTAGCACTGAGAGTGAACGCTTAGTAGCTGAATTTTTATGGTTCATCTTATTTTTCTATATAAATACATTTTAATGTATGACATGAACGGTAACTTACCACAGGTAGACATGGGTATCATTTCTCAGTATTTTAGCTGGATTTGACAGAAGGCGAACACTTTGGTCAGGTTTCACAGGCACGGATGTTCTGTACCTCTTTAGCTGAAGCCTGAACACTTTACAGTAGGGTTAAGACATTTAAGTTCACTTCTAGGAAGGATATTAGACTTAATACATAAAAGTTCCACAGGAGGGCGCCAGAAAAAGACGTTAAAGAGATTTGTTTAATTACTGACAGTTTTATTATAGTTGTCTTTTACACTGTCTACATATGAACAAGTAGTTTCAGAACCTCCGAAAAAGCTGGAAGTGAGACATTTTTTAAAAATGCCCTGGAATTACTAGGTAGTAGTAAAAATAAATTACAGCATTGCAAAAATGCATTTCACTTTGCCATAGAAGCTTTACTATTCCATTCTATACACATTATTTTACAGGTTTTACATTAGACATGAAAAATAAATTCACACGAACTAGGCAAAACAATATACTAACCAAAGGCACTGCCAACAGTATTTTGCGCTTAAGGAAGGGGCCAGTACTTCTCTCCCAAACACAGCTCAACTGACAGTTGAGACTTTGAGTTTCAAGATCTACCAATTCTTCAGATGCCCCATATCTTGAAAAACCAAAAGAAAGAGCCCTCCTCTTTGCAGGAGGTTTTCAGCAGCATTCACAGTAATTGCATAAGAAGCCATGCCTTCTACAAAATGTCAAAGACATGCTGGGTTCCAGGGAGGGAGAGGGAGACAATCACCAAAACTCCAGTAGAAAACAACAACAAAAAGAAATCTTTACAACTTTTAGCCAGAAAGATAAGGGATTCAAAACCAAGCGTCTGGATCTTACTTCTCAGAACCAATGGCAGTTTTTACAGTCAGTGTTCTTCCTCATGACTGAACAGAAGTATTTATACAGTGCTGTCAAGACTGAAAGCACTAGATAAATGTACTTAGATTACTTCACTACGCACTTGTGAAGTAATAAGTATTCTTGTAAATGGACAAACAGCACCAAAGCATGAGAACTGCTGCTCTAGTGGGGCTGCTGCCACGCTGTTAAAGGTCATCTGGGTGTAGAGTACAGTACAGCTGGGGGACCCGTCCCGCACCGCGTGCCAGAGGCCACAGCCCTGTTGGCAAACCCTTGGACACTACTGACTAAAACATGAGCTGGAACTAAGCTTGCAGAAGGTGGCATTTATACAAAACGAGGGGCCTTAAGTGATCCAGTTACTCTTTTATGGTTTAAAAACAATCACACTCAAGTGTAAATCTGGAAAAAAAAAAAAAAAAAATCCCAAGCAGTCACCTTCAGGAAGGAAACAAAACAGTTCCTCATCCCTCTACGGACAAAAGCAGCCTCATCACAACAGTACTTTACCTTAGGTAATTGTGAGGACAGGAGCGACAAGGCCTTTTGACAAAAGCCCCTTCCAGCTTCCTCCTTAGCCCAAATGCAAAGTTTTCAGACTTAAGGAAAAAAAAGGCACTGAGGTAAATTTTAGACTCTTCCACGTTGTCTCTGTGGTAACTGTTACCCGATAACCCGTTGCCTCCCTCCCCGCGTCACGCAGGTGGGATCACAGCAGCCTACAGCCAGCTCAGAGGGACACGTGTTCATCCAGTCAATCTGAAACCCTTCCACAACGCTCCACCTGAACGCGGCTAGTATCAACGTTCCTTTTCCCCGTTACACTTTGCTTGCACGCCTGTGTAAACAGAGGGAAGACTGAGCCTGGCCGTGTGATACAAAGCACCGAGAGCAAACATGGGGCCCATCCTCTCTCCGCCTGGCACCGCTGGGGCCTCCCTTGCCCTTCAGCCATCGCGGCATGGCAGCAGCACGATCGGGGGCTCTGGTGAGAGTTACGGCAGTAACCGATGCTCCAGCTCGAGGATTTTTATGAAGGATGTGCAGTGCACGCGTCGGAGACGGTGGGAGCCCTGAGAGAGGGGCTCGCTGTCCTCTCCCGGCTCCACATAGAGAGCAAAACCGGGTACCCTTCCCGGAGAGGCAGGCAGAGCACCGACTGCGAGCAGGGAGGGGGGGGGAAGGGGAACACGACACCTTTGGGGTGGCACGGGGAGGGAGAGGACAGCGTGTCATGGACAGAAGCGGTGGGAAAGCGGTGCCGGGAGGGTTTGCAGGAGGAAGCGGAGCACGAGAGCGCAGTGGGGGCGAAGGGTTGCCTTACTCATCCTGGCGCTAAGGCTGTCACACGCCGGCAGCCTCTGCTCCTGGTGCCACCTCCACACCCTGGCCCTGGTTGGAGCTCCTCTCCCTCGGCGCCAGACCGGTTCAGAGCTCAAAATCGGTTTGATTTGTGAAAGGGGTTTTGAGTTTTCCTGGGTTAGTCTGTTGGATATCTATTGCTAAATGTTCAATATCGAACCATCGGCCTATGCCTCAACCGTCATCTTTACACTTTTCAAACAGAATTTCTTAAAATGTAGGTCCCAAATCCTACAGAGTAGAAAACTGGTAAAACACTTGCTAACTTAGCTAAGCATCAGGGGTATTTGCTGTAGTTCACATCTGTTTTCAAAACGAAGTTAAATAGAATCAAAATGAATGACTTTTCCAGGAATTAACATTACCAAGTTTCAGTAATACTTACTAACAAACTCTCTGGGTGTTGCAGCTGCCTTGGTGTCATAACTGTACATTTCCCTGGCTATCTTAGCCCTGAACAAGTCTGTCCGGCGTTGGTTACAGCTGCAACACCCACGTGGTTTGCTGCAACCACCTCCTCCGCGTTATCTGCTGCTTCCTGTGCTCTACTTACGAAATGAGAACTCGGCCACGTGGGCACACGCAATGAGCCGCAGCACCTCCGAACCAGAACAAGCAAGTTGCTGGGAGGAGTGTGAACAGCAAGCGGTACCCTGCTCAAAACATTAGCCAGTAGATGTTCCTGTCGGGTTTGACGCTGAGCGTTTTCCGCAAAGCTTCTCCATCTGATGGTACAGCTGAAAAGCGAACCAGCAGCTGTGTTTGTTTGGTTTGTTGACGGGCAGAGTTTTAAACCACCCTTCCCATTCTTTGACTGGCTCTGGTCCTGGGATAAGAGGTTTCAGAAGAAGAAAATGCAATATGTTCATTTTAGGGGTGCTGTGAGCCAGACCTTAATGGAAGGATGAAGAGGGAGACTGACTACTATAAGGTGTCCTGAGAAGTGTCTTTTCATTTTAAAAATAATATCTAGCTTAGTCTGATGCCCAGTGCCTCCTGAAGGTTATCCAGGCTTGCCTCGGGCTTCTTTCAAGGTCTGTTGCAGTCTCTGTTTAAACTTCTCATACTTCCTTTGCACTTGCTGGATTTTCTCCTTTTCTTCTTTGTCCAATATCATCAAGAAGTTCTGTAGCTCCGGGATGGAGAACGCATCCCACTGCAAAACCAGCAGAAACAAAGGGAAAGTAAGCACACACCATTCACCTTACTGCTTTTGTGGGTTTTTCTTCCCCTGAATCTGTGAAGAGGAACAATAAAACACATTTAAACACATATCTGGTCTCCAGGTAGCTTAATCTCACAGGGTGATACGGGAGAGCCGGGATAATGGGCTACAGCATAAAGGGCCATCCGATTCCTGAGCCCTTGAGACTGCAGAGTTAATGGAAATCATCTTTACTCAGGTGAATGAAAGCTCCCACTGCAAGAGATGACACAGCTCCCTAAGGAACTTGAATATATCTGGGCATAACTGATGTAGCATTCATCACATTTCTTGCTACACAGGGGGAGCAAGGTCCCCGCTGGCAGCACTACCCAGCCGGAACCAGTTCTCTTTATTTTATTGCAAAGTTATTAGAACTGTTTGAGCTTCAGTAAAGCCCTTGGCACGGGGTGCCAGCAGACAGGCTGCTCCGGCTGTCACCTACAACAGCGTCGGGCTGACAGCGAGGAACAGGCAGGCCACAGGCTGATGACTGCAATCATTTAATAAACTCTGCTTTGTGCCTGCTCAGCACGGCCGCGGGCAGCCGGCATTCCCGCGGCATCCTCGCCAACCACGGTCCCACTCTGCCGGCGGCACGGCAGGATCCCGCGGGATGCAGCAGCTCCAACACTGGCCTTCGCCACGGTGGGGAGCGTGACCGCGACCAAAAACTGCCTGAGAATTTATTACCTGAATGTCCCTGGCTTCTAGTTAAGTTAGTGGATTACTTATAACAGTAATCTTGGATCTAATTATTGAGGATTAACTCTGGGGTGGTGTTGCTTGGTTCTGTAAACAGATTACAGCTCGGCATTTTTACAGCTCAAGTTTAAATTTCGTAAAAATCAACATAATTTAGGAGCAATAAACGACCAATTTTTTTTATTATTATTTTTTATTTTTTTAAAGTAAGGTACAAGTAGTCCGTTCAAGTTTGGGGAAAAGCTGGTATCACACTCCGTATTTTAGAAGGCAATGCCAGCGCCATTAGAGGGAAACAGCCTTGCTCGCATGGCACGGCTTCACCCGTGCTGCCCCGGCCGTACAGCTCCCAGCTCTGCAACGCTGCCACGTGCTCTGCAGCGCTGTTAACTTTCATGTAAAAATCAAGGGAAAGAGTCACCGACGTACCTCAACTTCCCCCGTTTCGTTTTCCTTCAGCACAAAACTGAGCGCGTCTGTGTCGGGGCCCGCCAGCAGCCGGAGGTACAGGGGGTACTCGGAGAGGGGGAGCTTCTGGAAGAGCACTGCAAGGGGACAGCAGACACCCACGGTGAGACACCTTGGCTGCCAGGGCAGAGGAAAGCTCAGGAGGTCAACTGGAGCATGCATAAGCGGTTCATGCTGCTCAGGATCACGGTGGAAATAGCTGAGTCTCTAACACAGATCCGTAACAATCTCTGTTAGGTCTTTCCTTCTGAAAACTAGTAATTCCCCGTTAGCAGCATCACCTCCTGCGGAGGTCCGGCCGTTTATTCACATGAAATTCAGACGCTGCCTGCCTTTAAAGAATTTAGACATTGCCTGCCATTTTAAGATTTAGACACCGCCTGCCGCTAAAGAATGCTTTGGGTATGCTTCTGCAACTCAGAACAGTAAGTAAAACTGATCAGCCGCAGGGACGCTGGCGGGTCCGAGGGTGCGAACTCACCTTGCCCATCTTTCCGCATCTCCTTGAAAAGTGCAAACTTCTGAGGATTATCCACCACCATGAATTTCTTCAGGAGCCCCTGGATCACCTCGCTCACCGTCGTCGTGCTGCTGATGTGGAGCTGCTTGATGGCATCCAGCGGCAGGTAGAACGAGGTTCTCTTGTCCGTCATTTCGGCCAGGTTCACCTCCTTGAGGGCGTCGTAGATGGACTGCGGCCGGATCCCTGCCGGTACCGTCACGGGGCGGCGCAGTTTCAAATGCACTTTAATGAAACCTGTGTACGTCCCATCGTCGTTCTACAGCAAAGGAGAGGGGGGTCAGGCTCCAGCGACCCTTTCCAGCCCTTTCCCTCCACGACAAGGGGCTTTCTGGTCTAGAGAGCTGCAGCCCATGGGCTGACTGCAGGACCTTCTACCCCTCTGTACTGCCAGGAGGTTGAGGGTTCCTTATTAATCACGTAAAAAGTAACCAGTAATTTTGGGTTAGTCATTATTGATTTTCTCCTGTTCCTTCCACTCTGTAATGACTCATCCCTTCCTCATGTCTGTGCCATCTTGCCTTATTTGAAACCAACACTGCTACAAGTCAGTTATGGAAACCATTACATGTAATTTGTAGTTGCACTTAAATGAGGATTTGAAACCCCTGGGAAGGTCTCTACCCTCACGTTCAGCAGGATCTCCCAACCATATTCCTCACATTTTATTTCCTGCTTATGGAATTCTCGCATCTCCATGTAATAAATCATCATCCAGGATCAGCCTGTCTCACAACAGGTCCCTTACCCTACCCTCAGCTCTGCAAAAATGCAGAAATCAAGAGAAAAGCCTGGACCTGTGGACTCCACCCGTGGGTGCCAGGCAGGAACAAGCCAGGGGATCCACCTCAGGTGCTGGGAGCGCTGGTCTGTGGTCCCAGCAAAGGGCCACCCAAGGCTGTATCAAGTCTCAAGAGTGTATTTTCACTAAGCTTCAAGTCAAGTAACTTAAGAGTAAACATTTGGGTCCCGAATGACTTCTGTAAGTCAAGGGCTGATAAAAATCAGTGGGTGAGACATTCCAGCAGAAATTACTGTGCAGCCTTCGCAAAGGAAATTGTTTTAAGATCTACTATTTTAATTAAATTTCAGGTTTATTTTCAGATGTTTGCATCTGAAAGCAGGGAGTTACGAAGCTGCTGTTCTTAGAAGTTCTATAGCTTAATTATTTCACTCTTTAAGAAGCTTTTTCCCCCTCTCTATAAGATCCTGTGAAGTTTGTACCTTTGTGGTACTCCAGTTTGTAAAAGAGTTGATTTCCGTGTCTTTTCACGACATAACACCAAGGCTTTACTTACAGGTGGTGATAAGCAAGCTTGCAACAAAGCTTCAAAATATAAAGGCATCCACTTTGGTTCTTAGAGCTCTGCTTCAGTAAGCCTGGCAGTGGAGAGGAGAAAAGCATCTCTTTCTAGAAGGGCTTTGTGTTTCTAAATACACTTTGTGCTTCTAAATCCACTTTGGATTTAGAGTTTTACTGTGACTCATCCCTGCTAGAACAACGTGGGCTCATCTATTTGTGGCAAGTCATTCGCAGCCCAGGCTGGCCGGAGATCACAGCACCAGCACTCCCAGTTGAGAAGGGACAGAGGCAGGGAAGGGCAGGAGATAAAGCAGAGCAGGTAAGGAAGACAGGAACATCTCAACAGCCACAAGCCCTCTTGCCTTGGAGATGCCTTCCTACAGCCTGGCTCAGCCCATGGAAACCCGCATCAGCCTGTATTAGGCAGGTAGAGCCCAGTACATACCAGCTTCATCAACAGGCAGTTTGTAACTTTTGCATTGTATTTTTCAATTTTCTGTTTGATCTCCTGGATGGTCGGAGGCTCAGGTTTTTCTTCTTCTACTGTTTGTGTTACATTCTGAAATCAGAAGAGACAGGATTTAGCTGGTTTACGTATTGGGTAACACTGCAGCTGTTCAGCTCTATTTTTCTTGGGAAACGCAGGGACAAGGAGGCTGTGCAAATCCTGAGCTCATGCTAGCAGCGATGGCACGGGTTGATATGGTCCCTACAGCCAAGAGGCTAAATGTGCAGGATGCCACATCCCTGCCCCAAACCATCTCTGTACACCAGTAACAAGCAGTGGGGGGGCCAAACAAAACCCACTAGACATAGAGTGACATGGAGGCACAGAGCAGTAAAGACATCCCAATACAAACCAGGGCGGAGAATCCAGCCTCTAAAACCTACTTTCAAAATAAAAAAAAAAAAAAAAAAAAAAAAAAATCACATCCTATTTCTAGTATTCATGTCTCTGCCTACCCAAGCCAGGCGTCCCCTTAAAAACCTGGGATGCTCCTCAAACAGCTTCCTGCAGGTTCACCCAGGCAGAACCTAAAGTTAAATCTCTGCTGGATTACTCCTCGCTGCTCTTGTCCAAAGCTTTGGAAATTACAGCTCAGAGCAGTAAAATCACACAAGCAGCAAGCTGGCTGCCTGCCTAATAAATCAGTCACTGCAAACCCAGTCAAGGCATCCCAGCCCGGGTCAGAAACTGTTCAGCGTCTGCCCACCCGTGGGCTCACTGGGAGGATGACAGCTGCTGCTTCTCGCTCAGGTTTTGGAGAATTTCTTCTTGGGAAGCAAAGCGACAGATTCGGCGCGTAGGTGGGCTTTACCTGAAGGTCACACATGAAAACATTGCTAATGATTAACGGGAAAACATGATCCCATCGTGGAGAGGCAGCTCGTGGGAGTTTCCCAAATGCAACCCAGGTTTTAGAGTGTTTAAGCAGAATGGGTTTGCGGAGCAGATGGGGGACAGAGTCCAGGCCGGGGGGACGATGCTGTGGGGTCAGAGCAGGTGCCAGACCTGCGCTAGAAGGGAGCAGGACCGCAGTGCCCATTACAGACCAACCAAAAGGGGAATCATGAGGTGCTTTCTGCAGAAGCGGGCCATCTCTGGGGTACACTGGAGGAAAGCATGCAAACCACCACCGAGCCCCGCCTGCCCCTGAGCCCCGCTGCTCCCGCCCGGCCCCAGGGAGAGGTGTCTGGCCACCCGGCCTCCCTGCTCCCAGTCTTGAAGCCGGGCAACACATTTGGCTCGCAGCAAGGGTCGGGGGATGCCGGCCGCCTTCCTCCGGGGACACACGAGACAGGGAGAGAGGGGGAACGGCGTCGGGGGAGCTGGGAGGGAGGCCCTGATGAGGCAACCAAGAACGCGCAGCTGCAGATGGTTTTCTGCAGAGAAGGTTTGTAGCAGCCTGGAGCGAGAGCCTGAGCCCTGCTCCCACCTCCCATCTGCCCAAGCACCGCGGCACAGGCTGCCAAGGCCCACGGACACCCTGGAAAGGAAACGTCAGGATGTGATCCCCCACCATCGCGCCCGGCGTGACGGCAGAGCCCAGGCACTGCGGGAACACAAGAACCAGCGAGCTCTTCCCCAAAAACCTGCTGGAAGGCAGGAAAGGACATGCCAGCACATACGGGCAGGGATTTTGTGTGTTCCCACATTAAGGGTTCAAGTGCAGCCTCGGCAGCTGCAGAGTCCCTCAGGGCTCCTGGGGCCGTCCCCGGGTCCTGGTGCTTTGCCTGCACCATGCAGGGTCGGCGGGGAAGGAGGGGAGGGAAACCCAGAGCACAAAGCTAAAGCGACCGAGCCACAGCCATGCCCCCAGCAGACAGGCAGTGAGTGCCTTTGGGGACCCCCGTGCATCCCGTCCCTATCCCCTGAGGACTGCGTCCACGAGCCCAAAGCAGGTGTCTGGGACAAACGCACCCGCTCACCTTCAGCAGCCACCCAGAACAGTCTGTTGCAGAGTTAACGGCTCCTGTAATCGCGAGATGAAAGCAAGGACTTGTGTGACCCTGAAGTAAATTCACAAGTGGGCTAAGAAAATCTATTAAAAAAAATTAAACACCAGGAGCTAAACTAACTCAGAAGTTCTCTGGCAGCCACCTTTGGGTCTCCCCATGGGAAATAACCTGCTGCAAGGACAGGACTGTGCCGACTGCACTGCGGGTCTCTGCGGGGACACACGCTGAGGTACCGCAGCTCAACTCCCGCCCCGAGCACGTCTCCAGCCCTGGGACACCCATCACGTCAAACCACGGTGCTGGATGCAAACCAGCAGCAAGAATTGCAGCCTCCAGCAATACACGCTGTTCATTTCTTTGTGTGATTCCTGGAGCTCTTCACCAGCTTCCGCAGCCGCTGCCTCAGCAGCAGCAGAACACAGATCTGACAGTGGCATTCAAGAAGCCTTGATGACCTTATTGCCACAAGACCATTGGAAACTCCCTATATGAGGCTCATATTGTGTGCTTCAAGGTTTAACACCACTTTAGCCCCGGTTGTCCAAAGCCCTTCAGCCAAGGGACTTTCCACCCAGCCAGGAAAGCAGGTCTCTAGAGCACAGCCTTCTGCATCCCAAACCCAGACCTGCTGCAAACAAGCCTGCCCGTGTCTTGGACTGTGCTCGGTGGGCTGGGTTTCACAGCGCAGCGCTCTGCTGCCTTTCCATAACTCACCACCTTCCCCGGAGACAGGCTGTGAATGCATTTCACCAGTGCTGCCTGAAACTGCGAGCAGCACACCCATATTTTATGTGGGCTTGCTCAGAAGTTCGCATTAGCGGAGAGCAGAAAGTGTGAAGGGATGCTCTATCAAGGCCAATACAGAACAAAAACTGTAACCTCCAAGAAGGACAAAAAAAGATAAAAAAAAGCAACTTTGGGAGCAAAGTCCACCTCTTCTCAGGCAGCTCCACAGCACATGAGACCAGAATGCAGCTAGCTGTAAATAAGCTAGTATTGCCCCAGGCTACCCATGATACTTCTTTTAGGAGGAGAATCAAGCACAGGTCAAACTGAAAGCCTGGCTGCAATCTGGCAAGACAGCTACAGTCCTGAGAATCAAGAGCCCCGGATTCATTTGAGCGATTCCCAAGTGAGAATTCGCAATTTCTGCTTGAGATTGGCAAACAGTACAAGACCCCTCAAAATACCATTGGGTTACTGCTCCTGATTGGAAGAGCACTGACGTTGTATTATAGTCTCCTCGTTGTTCAGTGCCTTAAGAAAATAAAAGCAAAGCTTTCCTGGGGTATTTAAGGATTGCACATAAATATCCACTTATCATAACGGCAATTTCAACTCCCCAGTTCGTCAAAGTCCTCGGGCACATGCTTCACTGCAATCTATTGACTGCAATAGGTCTTACACGGCTGCACGCAGATGCTGGGCTGGCGTGGGAGTCTAAAAATAATGTCAAGGGTAGAGATTTTCAAAAGTAGGACTGGGAAAAAGAAAAAAAATATGAAAAAAAAAAACAACAAAAAAAACAACAAAAAAACTTCCCTTTAAGTTAACGGAAGATGTGCTCTCAGAAACCCTCCACTTCCTCACGTCACCCATTTCACAGCGCTGGAGAAAACAGGCACAGCCGGGCTGCCCATCCCCCCCCCAGCCCCCTGCCACCCCACCCCAACTGCACCTCGAGTGAGCACCGGGAGACCCCCGGGACCGTCCCCTCCCGCACACACACCGACTGGCGGCTGCACAGCCCAGCCGCAGCGGCGAGGCGCGCGGCGCACGTGCGCGACGCCTCATCCCTGCCCCAAACTCAACCCGGTGCAGACCAGCACCCATCCAGCCACGCACGGCAAGAGCCAACAGAGCGGCTCAGCCCCATCCTTGTCGCTGTAATTTGCTTCTCCCCAGCGGGGCAAGTTCCTCCCCTCCTGTGATGTTTCCAGCTGAGGAGAACAGCGCGCGCCAGCAATTAAGAGCTTTCGGAGCAGTTCGCGCGCCGATGCCGCCCGGTTTCCATGGAGGACGCACGGTGCACCCAGGACAGCAGCAGCCTGGAGCGGTGCTGGTTCCCCGGGGTTTCGCAGCAGACACAAGGCAGACGTTAATTGCTTCGAGCTCCAGGGAACCTAAATCACTCGCAGCAGGAGGAGCGGGAAGGCTGGCTCGGGAACACGGTGCTGGTTGGCACCAGGTCGCAGGTCTCGTGCTGCGTCCTCGCACAGCGCCATCAACAAACTGCTGCCCTCCCTCCGGCGTCCTGCCTTCGCCATGCATGCGTTGTGGCAGGTCAAGACGTGTCAGGGGGGGTCTCTCAGATTGCTCAGCCCCCCCCCCCCGACTCCCCCAGTGCACCCCGATCCTCGCCAAACGCTCATCCTCCTCCAGCCGGGCACAAGGTCAGCCGCCCTGCAGAGCTCTGCTGAGCACCACCCCCCCCCCCCCCCAGCACTCCCATGGCAGCAGGACCCCACCGAAGCACCCAAAGTTGCCCTAGAGATGGATTTTTGCTCCCAGGAGCTGCGATAAGCCGGCAGCCTCGCTCCTCTCACCCGCTGCTCCTGCCCTGGCAGCCCTGGGGAGGGCAGGAGGCAGCTCAGTTCCCAAATCGCTGCCTTCTTCTGCCCAGCCCACAGCTTCTCGATGCTCAGACCCTCATCTAAGAAAACACATCAAGAAAGAAACACTGCCCAGAAGTTACTCATTTACCACATCTATTTGTTTTGACTAACCCCAGGGTCCCACTGCACCCAGGAGTGTGCCAGCACCAGCACCCACGGCTCAGCCAGTGCGGCCAAGCCCTGAGAGCAGGGCCCCCACCCCCCCCACGCCGAGCCTTCGGCTGAGGCTGGAAGAGTGAGCACCCTGACGTCAGGATTGCCCCAAGGAAATGGGTTTCCAACCCTTGACTGTCAACTCTGACAATTTGCATGATTGTGCGGCCACAACTATGGGTAACAGGTTGTTCTCTCCCCTTCCACGTGCAATTGTAACTAAAAAAGAAACCCTGCATTATGACAATTTGACAAATATAGGTTTTAACAGCCATATATTGTTTTCTTAGGGTCATTTTTATAATTCCCCCCAGTGTGGAATTAATATGCT